AGTGTTTTATTATGAAAATAGAATAAAAACTTCAAAAACGAAACAATCAATCCTTTCTAATTTAATGAAAAATTTGTTATTTTGTATTTTTTTCTGTGCGTGAGTTATATGCAACTTGAAAAATAGTTCATAAGGGTAAAAGTAAAGAGACTTGTGAGTTACATATGCTTCACAAAGCCCCGGGCTCAAAACTAGGGTGAGTTAAATACAACTCACATGTCAGTTAATGTGTTAACATATAGCTCTAAAAGTTTAAAGTTAAATTGCCCAGTCCATTAAGGTTGTTAAATTGGGGGCTATGCATTTATAATCCTATTTTTTTTAATAATAAGTACTACATCTTTCATAATCTATGAAACATTGAGACCAAATTAAACCCCATTTCAGTTGACTAGTTGGTTCAGGTTTTTTGCTTATCAGAGTAGTAGAAATGCTTACATTTGTAGAATAATTTTTAAGAAACCAGGTTGCAGTTTCAGCACTTGGGCCATTATTTTCAAACTCTTAGGTACTTTCTTAAAAATAGGCTGTGCTGCCTCCAAGTAATGAGAGGTGCTTCAAGCCTCATTTTTTCAGAGATCTGAGTCACAGCCATTAATTTTCCTGTGTACGCATGTATGTGTATTGCTCCCTAGAAACATTAAAATAATATGATAGTGAAACTAGATAATTTTAATAAACTTGTGAAAAATATATACCTGGAAATACAAAATTTGCTCTATTCCTTACAAATACTTGTTTCAGTTATAGTTCCATCTAATATTATTCTTATTTCCAAGACTTGGCTGGGATGCTTACATGTAATTCAGCTGAATCTTTTCTTGAAGGTAAGTGCTTTTGTGTGTTTGTTCATATGCCGAAGACTTGTATCTATTTGGTTTGTTATCTAAAGCCTTTTGCAGTTTCTGGTAGGTCTTAGCTATGGCTGCTTCTCTTACAAAGACATTCTTGAGATCGCTACTTTCATAGTTTCTTTCCTTCTTTCTTTTTTCTTCCCCCTGAGACAGGGTCTCCCTTTGTCACCCAGGCTGGAGTGCAGTGGCACAATCATAGCTCACTGCAGCCTTGAAATCCTGGGCTCAAATGATCTTCCTGCCTCAGCCTCCTGAGTAGCTAGGACTACAGGCCACCATGCCTGACTAATTTAAAAAAATTTTTTTAGAGATGGGGTCTCAGTATGTTGCCCAGGCTGGCCTTGAATGCCTGGTCTCAAGTTATCCTCTTGCCTTGGCCTCCCAAAGTGCTGGAATTGAGCCATAGCACCTGGCCTCATAACTTCTTTCTGAAGTAATTCTTCATAGGTTCCCACTCCTATAGGGCTCCTCCTTCCTTTAATTCTTGTCATTTACATGTAAAGAGACCCTTACTAGATGCCATTATATTGTGAGTGACATTTTATTAGTGACATTTTATTTTCCAGTCTGCTTTTATAGAAAAGGAAAACTTTCTAGATAGCAGCTCTTTGCTAAGTGTCCCTTGAAATTTGTACAGTTAATACTGTTCTAGTCACAGCTCCGTAGCCACAGCTGTGGCTTCTCTGCATTGGATACACTTTTCAGAACTGATTTTTTCAGAAGCTTGTATTACTTCATGGAACTCAATAACATTTTTAAGTAGCAGTTGGAACTTTCCAATAAAGATATAAAGAGATCTTTGATTGCTTAATAAGAGCTGAAGGCCCTTCCTTATAGTGATTCCTTAAGATTCTTAAAAGCTGTAAGATCCTTTTTTAGCCATATTTTTGCTGAATATGTTATAGAGTAGAAAGGTGGTTGTCCAAACTCAAATACTTTATTGACCAATTATAGAACTGTGTTGTAAATAAGAAATATACGTCAGGCGCAGTGGCTTATGCCTGTAATCCTAGCACTCCGGGAGGCTGAGATGGGAGGATTGCTTGAGCTCAGGAGTTTGAGACCAGCCTGAGTAAGAGTAAGACCTTGTCTCTACTAAAAATAGAAAAATTAGCTGGACATTATGGCAAGCACCTGTAGTCCCAGCTACTCAGGAGGCTAAGGCAGGAGGATCACTTGAGCGCAGGAGTTGGAGGCTGCATTGAGCTACGATGATGCCACTATACTCTACCCAGGGTGACAGAGTGAGACTCTGTCTCAAACAAAAACAAACAGCATATTAAAAAAATTTTTTTTTCAAATTTAAGAAAAAAAAATATAAAATTGCAGCAAAACATGTAGGCTCCATAGGTCTGTTTCTGAGGGAAAGACTATTTTAAAAGTCTTGTCTCTAGTGCCTTTATCCAGTGGATCTATAATTGTGAGAATTACATTTATTACGTTTTATTTATCCAACAACTATTGTCAGTTATATAAATTGGATTTGGTTTTTATTTTATTTTGTTTATTTTTTTGAGACAGGGTCTTGCTCTGTCACCCAGGCTGGAGTGCGGTAGCATGCTCATAGCTCACTGTAGCCTCAAACTCCTAGGC